CATCAGGATGCAGTTGTAGACCAGCAGAAGCAGCACAGTGTGTTGGAGAAGTTCCACATGCCTTGTTCCCCCCTTCCTAAACGTATGAAGATTGAAGCCTCCGGAGATGTAGCGGTTCTGTCCACCACATGCTTTTCTGAGGAAGACACACCCACAAAAGACAGTCTGCCCTTTTCTCCATCTCTCAAAGACTTTTTGGAGTCTCCTTTGCGCTACCTGGATACCCCAACCAAGAACCTGTTGGATACTCCTTCCAAAGAGTTACAGCCAGAGTTTCCCCTTTGCAACTGTGTGGGTAAGTCTGTGTTTCTAACTGCCAGTGATGGCTTATATAAAACGCACTGTGAACGTACATTCTACAGTGTTGGCTAGGGGGTTAAAGAAGCAGACTTGGGTTCGGAAGGGCACAGGTTTGAGTCCCTCAGCTGTGAAATTGCCACTGAAGTGTACTGAGCATGAAACCGTTCTCACACACAGCACACTGCCTCTGTTCACTATGGTGATGGGTTAAACACAGAGGTCGGATTCCGTTGTGTGCACTGGTGACAAGTAATTCAGTTTCATTAATTTCATTAAAGTAATTGCAAGAGCTTAAAAAAGTGTTTTTGGCAAAGGGAAAAAAGCTCAGTTATAGACTAATCACTTTAGACTAACTCAAAAAAAACATAGAAAACAACTGGCATTTTCAGTGAATGACACTGAACAAAATTTTCTTTACTAGTTAATGTACACAGACTAGATAGTTCAGTCCTCCTCTGCCAGCGTCTCTGAGGATGCTTGTTCTGTGTGTCTAAGAATGTGTGTTGGTGTTTTATATGACTGTGGCCATCTATAATGTGTAAGTGAGACAATGAAGGCAGCACAAAGAAACAATAGAAGAAGTGCCAGATATAAACCTACAGAAAAGTAAGGTTGGGGGTTTGCTGCTGTAGTTTTGGCAGAACACTGTTTTCACACACTAACTGCACTTTCAGTAAAAACATAGTTCACATCAATTAGACAGTAAAACTCAATATATAACACTTTCTTAACTACTTAACACAGCAACAGCCTGGATCTCCCAGGAAAAGTAAAAATACACAAGGCTTCAAAGCCACACAAAGTAATGTACACACAGTATTGTCAACAATTTGCCCTCGATGAATAAATGCATTTCCTCGATTTGTTGGTTAACCTAATGGTTTCTAAAGTGCAGAAAAAGGTAAACATATCTTATATGTATATTATATTTAATATTTATATAATATTTCTGAAACCTTAAGTCAAGGTTTTTTCCACTCAAATGTGGATGTTTTCTCCAAAATATTTCATTTTCTGTCACTGAGGAGCAAAAAGACCAACCTGGAGACTGTGAATATAAAGTTTGTTTTTTCCTTTCAGACTTAGATTATGTTTAAAAAGTATTTGATCATCACTTTGTCATCAATTTATATTATTAATTTAATTATTTTAGCCAACACCTTCACACATGACATTTTACATATATCAGCAGAAAGAAAAATGAAAATTGATTTACAGTTAATGTAGAACACATTACATGCAGCTACACAGTGAAGGCATTCGAGACATCTGTGGAACATTGGTCAACAAACTTAACACACAAACTCACACACACACAGACCATCACATTCAGACACACCCTTCAGCCTTTTTTAACACACACACTAAGTCATTGATGCTTCCCTCAAACATCCGCCTCTTTGCAGCGTGTGATTTTACTCATGCACCACGCCCTGCAGTCACTGCCTCGGTGTTTGAGCATGAGCAGTGTATTAGTATGTGTCCAAGTATTTATGGGAAGTGGATGTTGCAATCAGTGGTAGATTCTCACGTTTCTCATATATGATTTGGCTCATGTTGCAAAGAAGGAGTGTTTTCTTTTCGCAAACCCCCCAGCCCCAATCAAAACAAATCAGCACTACTTTTGATCTAGCATCAAACCCTACACACAAACTGAGATGTAATAACAAGTAGAGCCTTACAGACCAGAATAGACCAAAGCACACAGGACATGAGGGCCCATTAAAGTCTTTTAAATCATGGAATTCAGAGACAGTTTGATTAAAAATGCTCGAGAACTACAACATTAGATACAACATATGACATGTAGGTTCTCAATACAATTCATTTAGGTTTTTCACACATTGGTGGAGAATTTTAACCATAAGAAAACAGACCAGTTCCCTATTTTTAACTAAGGTAATATGTTAAAAAGAGTGTAGTGAGTGAGTGTATATAACATGTAGATCAATCAAATAAAAAGATATGAGAGATTTATTAGTGATATTTAAATGTGTGTTCTTTTTTAAGAACAAATCTTGGAGAAAGATGAAGGACCCTACTACAATCATCTGGGATCTGGACCGACTGTTGCTTCTATACGTACTCTGATGGAGTCAAGGTGGGAGCTTATCTTCTCTCCTCTCCTCCCCTCTCCTCTTCCCTCCTCTCATCTCCTCCCCCCTTCTCTCCTCTCCTTTCCTCTCCTCTTCTTTCCTCTCCTCTACTCCTTTAATCTCCTCCTATCTTCTCTTTGCCTTAACCTTTCGCTCTTTGTTAGTGCATTGCTCTGGGCGAAGTATAGTGCAGTAAAATGCTCCTGGGTCAAATGCAGGGGAAATTTTGTCTTTAATACATGTGTCTTTATTTTGTGAATACAATGGCAAATAATGTTTTTTCTATTTGACCAGGTTCTGGTGATTTACTGAAAGGCCGGTTGAGAACCCCTCCCTCAGTCATTAGTCTCTGTAGAGGATATAGTGAGAAGATGTCAGGCTTGAGACCTACTTTTTGTTGTTTCTGAAATGATGTAAGATGTTAAGACCTTATAGACCCCAGGTGACCTTTGACCCACCTCTGACCCCTGCAGGCCACCCTGTGGTGCTTAAGCCTACTCCCGTAGCTCTCTTGCTTCCTCCCTCTCAGGATGACTCCTATTCAGCAGTAGCCTCTTGTCTTCTCTGTCAAACCAAATCAGCTCACAGCTAAAGGCCACACAATAGTAGGTAGCAGTCAGCCAGGAGATGTGATATGGCTTATGACAGGTTGTGAAGGTCCAGCCCCCAGTCTAAAAGAAACCTCTGACCCCTGCCTTCTTTAAGACACCTTCACAGCCATCAAGAAATGTCCTAGTATTTTCACCCCTCATTCATACGATCCCATAGAACAAATACAACTAAGAGCACGTGTAGATTCAGACTCTTCACAGGAATATGTCAAGAAACCCTGTGGTTGGAAGCACGCAGGAAATAGTGGCTTCTGGTTTGATAAACCTGTGTGAATCCTAGAAGAGCAGTGTGAACATTCTACCCTCGCCAGAACTGCTTAGCTTAGCAATACTTAATATAAATAATAATATTAAAACTCTCCAAAGGAGGACAGTCATGGTGATAATAAATAGAATAGGATTTTATAGAATAGTGTCTTAGCAAGAAGCTTAGGACTGGACAGGCAGCCAGCAGCAGCAACATAACTTAAATTAACTTAGTTCTGCCTCATGATATAGTTGTATATATGTAATCATTCAGTGTCTCTGTGACTTAAACTCAGAACTTTACCCTGACTCATCTTATGGCTCCTTTGTCTCCTAACGAGTTAGGCAACGTATGTTTTAGTTTTCTTATTTACTCCTGCACATTCTAATATTTAGTCTAGGGTCAAACCTAAGTCAGTGCTACTAACTTAGGTTCAAGTCTCAAACTCAGACTCAGCCCCATTCAATTTGTCCTCAGCATTTTAACCAACATTTATTGTCATGTTGATAATGACTAATGATTAACTCCTCTTACTTTTTGTGCAGGTATGGAGAGAAAGGAGAGGCTGTTCGTGTTGAGAAGGTTGTCTACACAGGAAGAGA